GCGTCTCGGCTCCCTGGTTGGGGTCCGAAAGACGAGGAACACGTTTGGTTGGACACACTTGCTGATATAGCTAGCAGCCGACCTCAGTGGCGTTCGTGCTGTGAGTTTCTTTGTCCCACCCATCCCTCTTAGCCTCCCTCTCCAATCACGATCTAATTATTTAGCCTTATATAATTTTGCATATTAATTTTTTTTGGGTGCACAGCAGCCGGCTGGTAGCTTACCGGAACGATGCCCATCCGTTACCGGTAGCTCAGCCAGCTTGCACCAGTTGCTTTTTTTCTCCTTTTTTCTATGTATTGCGGCACAGTAGCTGAGGTGTTCCCCACCTCTAGCTAACGTGTATGATGATGATGATGAATACCGGAGATCAGAAAGGAGCAGTTGATTAGCAAGATGATTGAACGCCTTCGAAAAATCCAACGTCTCCTCCAGCATCAGCTGACTCAGTTCAACTACTCCGTGCGATTAGTGAAGTCGTTGTGCACCAGTGCTGTCGACGAAGGGAGTGATAATTATGCGGGTTTCCAGATGACCCACCGGTGTATCGGCAATGATGGATTCCGTGATCTTAGACAGCACATGGAGGAAAGATAATGGGCGGTAGTTTGAAGGCTCAGTTTTGAATCCGCCATTGTGAATCTGACTTAGTATTCCAAGGTTCCATATGGCAGGAACTTGGTACTTGTCTAACCAGTGCTGGAAGAACTAATCCTTAGGTTCTGCTAGTTGCCTTGCTGCTGCTCTCAGTGCCTCTGAGTGAATGGTCAACACCGGGAGAGCTGTGGTTGCGCAGAGAAAGCTTCAGCGGTAATAGAGATGTGGGCGAATCTTGGTGGCTGGACGACAAAAGCAGGAAGATGGCTTAATGGCAATATTCTCTGAAAGCTGGAGATATAATGCATCCGTGGTCCGTTTACTGCTTTTGTAGCTGTTACTGTTTGGTCGTATAACGAACCAGGCTCCGATGGCTGGGCCACGTGTTGCGCATGCTAGCATACCGACTCCCGCGACGTGCATTTTTTGCGCGCCAGGGGTGGGCATGGAGGTAGAGGGGGGAGGCCAAACGATGAGGAATGAAAACCCTCACTTCGAAACTGGCGTCGGTTGGTGCATCCCGACGGCCTGGCTGGGGTCCTAATGACTATGAGTATGTTTGGTTGGACACACTTGCTGATATAGCGAAAATCCGGCCCCAAGGGCGTTTGTGTTGTGAGTTTCTTTGTCCATCCCCTCCCTTTAGGTTCCCGTCCAATCCCGATCTCATGCAAAACGCATAATATAATATTTAACAGCATATTTTTCGTAGTGCAATTTTTTAGTCTCTTATCTTCTTGTAGTGCGGTACATTAGATGAAGTGTGTTTCTCACTATCAGCTAACGTGTACTGGTGATGAGTATTTGGTCGTTAGCCATACTGAGCAGAGGAAATCCCTGCCTCACCTTTTCTAAACCATCGACGTACTTGTACAGCAGTTTGTGGCCAGTGCTGAGGGTTTTGCCACATCTTGCTAATGCGGGTTTGGCTTCGCTGAACAGTTGAGTACAGTGATTATGTTGGACTACGTAGTTGTCGCAAGTTTCTGGCGTTCGAGCTAATCCATACGCTCACCATGTTGCGTTTAGTCAAATTTATTTTCTAGGTTTGCTCCTTACGAGAGAAATGGTTTTAGACCCATGGCAACTCTTGTCTCTGAAGTATCTGCATTCAGCCGATTGAATTTGTTAATGAATTCGAGCCAGGAGACTGCAGCAAGGAACGACCAGCTTGTGACGCTGATTACCTGAGCTGGTTGATCGCAGCGCGTGATGGTTCGCATCGTCTCATACTTCTCATTCCAAAATTCCGCATAGCAGACGAAGTTGAAACTGATGACTACATGATCACCACGACCCAACGGGCAGTCCACTATCAACATATCAAGCATGTTCCTCGTTGGTAAGCATAAGATAGGTAACATGATGCGATTCTAAAGAGGAACAAGATACGAGCTCTCGTATGGTGGCTTTGAATTGTTCTCGGATCGTGGCAGGGGTTAATAAACAATGTAGGTTGAAATCACCCATTATAAGGGTGTGAATGTATATTCCCTCTAGAGTGTGCCGTAGAGCAGTCGTAAGGCGGCAGTCCGTTTCGGGTGTGGTTAGGAGGGCAGTACACCAAGGCTATAATGCAAGTGTCTTTGCCTTTTAACTGCAGTTGGCACCAAAGATAATCGGGGAACTGCGAGTCTGAATCCTCTATAGCCTCACACTGTAAGTTGCTCCCATTGTGAGTCCATAGTTCCGGATGGGCGATATGTCCGGTAGCGAAACTTCAGCGTCCGTCAAACCAGTTTGCAATCATGTCTCAGTGATGCCGATGATAGCATATGGCTCGGAAACTTGGTGAGCTTTCAGTTCGGTCGACTTTTTGAAAAAGCGCTAAGTATTTGTATACATGCATGCTAGTTCCTCGGTTTTTAAGCGCCCACAGATGGTTAAAGGATTCAGGTGTTGAAGAATGCCGACCGATGCGAGGTCGGTCGTTAGTAGTATTTTTGATAGGATGCCTTGTCTGTAACTTGATTTGGTCAAGGCGCGTCCCAATCCTCGAATAGACTTACGTTAAAACAGAGTAAATGAGCGGTCAAGTGAAGCGTCTGTGTCATCACCGGAATGTTTACTATTTCAGATGATTTAATAGTTGAACTTTGCAAAGCTTCTGCAGCAGTTAACCGAAGTTAAGATGGAAGGCTTTTCCGACAACCATCTAAAATATCCATTGCTGTTGCCGCTGATTGGACCGCAAGTTTTAGGATTCTTGGGCTGCATCCTCTATAATTTAGTCAGACGGGTAGCCTCTTGAGTGATATGATACAACATTACCCGAAGAAAGTGTATCACGAATGAACCGTCACTGTTCATAATGGTGATTTCCGGCCTCTTGACTCAGGTTGGAAGGAAGCTCTAGCACGCAATGGATGAAGGTTGTGTTTAGGTGATGTTGCTTGATGTGTTTTTCTGCGGTGTTTCTTTTCGATAGTCGCACGTTCTAAGGGACATCAGGATAGACGAGTATCTCACAGGATTTGTGCCGTAGCGTTTTTGTTGAGAATAAAACGTTTACTACATTTGTGAAGGATCTTAGCGTTACTCTAAAAAGTTTGCCTTCGACATAGTGTGCGGAGTTCCAGTAATGAGTGAGTCGCATTAAATTTGTGGGTTTGGTTTTGACGTATATCAGAATGAAAAATGAGTTCCACTGGTCTTGGTCGGCAGAAAACGTACCCCGCAAAGCGATAGTGGCAAAGTAGGGGACATTTGAGCACATAACAGTCAGGGCACCATTTTCGTTGAGCTGCAAGGTAGGGTGATTGTTTGTTCTGACCTACTGCCAATTGATGATTGTCTAATGTTTGTCATTTTGTGCACGTTAGCGGAGTTTGTAACCGAAGAGACTGCAAGGAGAGCCTTCCGCCTGATCGTTGCAGTGATCTCTGCATATGTGACTGAATTCTCGGGAGACTTGAACTCGACAAGAGACCCTTTAGTTGCGAATGCAGAAGACTCGTGATCAGCTGCCCTATCCTTGCTAATGATAGAACTTGTTAAGAGCATCGATCGAAGAGACATTTCGGTTGGTGTCTGATTTTCGTGGTCCTGAGTACCACTTGACTATCAGAGCCCCAAGATATTTTAGCCTAACGTTCTGCCACAGTGGGAGGAGACAACGGCGATGGGAGTCTTGCTGATCGTGGTTCCGGTGAAGCAAATCGTGCATTATCGCCTTGCCTAGAGGTCAATATACTGTCTTGACGCATACGCGCTTCCGATGAAGCAATCCTAGTGTCCATCCGCTGTTCAACTTCTGCTGATAACCTGTCGCACTTTTGGACAAGAATAAGCATACACTTGACGAATGGGACGGTCGAACAAGCAGTACAAGGCCAAAGGACGTATTGGCATCTACTCCGCTCGCGCATCTGTTGCTTGGATAAAGTAGCACAGCTAAAATGATATCAAGTGGAACAATATGAGCAGGCTAATTCTAATTTGACTAATCGATTACATTCGCCTGACCCGCAAATATTCTTCGCCTAGAGCCCTTATGGACCTGACTTACTTGATTTCTACCACCCGGCGTGGTCTCGTAACCTGACGAGGGAAGTTGGTTGATGTTCCATACATCGGTCAAGCGAGCGTTGCAGTTACAAATGCAGACGGGGAATAGAGGATAGAATCGCAGTGTAAGCACACCTACAACATGAAAAAGTTCGTGCAACAGCTCGTGAGTGAGAGAAAATTGCGCAGAGTATGGGAAAATTGGGCATCCTGCAGGGTTGTTGGCTAGCCAGACAACCTCTCCGGCGCGTCAGCTGCGTGGTTCGGGTTTACCCGTTCCAGAAAATAGTTCGGCGGCAGTGTCCCAGGAAGTGGTGGGTTTTCGCCTGGCAAGCGTTCTTCTTATGAAAACCCATAGATGTCTGTTAAACAACACTGTGAAGTGGCGCCCGTGACTCATTATCAACTAAAGTCACCGCCCCCTGCTTATTCGTACAATCGTTTCAAATCTACGGACGTAAAACATCCTTTAACACTGGCGACACGTTTAAACACAAACAATGGTACGGCAAAAAAGTTACAAAGCCAAGCAACACAGCTACACACGTCTACACGCACAAATACATAAATGCATGTATCAACATATATGACAATCCTATTATACTATTGTATATTCCTTGAACACTAGTTGTATTCTTATCACGATCATAGCTGTGCATGCGGACCTCGTTTAGTCGAGAACAAAAATTTATTTATTTATTTAAAACAGGAGAGTAATGAGGGTACATAGCTGTTTAGTTATAAAACTGGGTGATCAGATAGATACGAAGTTTAACCACAACGTAACCAGCCAGGTGAGTGCGTCCTCCAGTGTCTATGTGCAAATGACCGGATAACATGTGTCGGGTCGAATCAACGAGTTTTGCACAGAAGACAAGGAAAGGTGTAAGACATACCGTGTTCATCTGACCATATCAATGCCTTGGTTTGAAGACATGCTTCCAGATAGCGAGCAGCAAGTTGATAACGTCCTAGATCACAGAGCATCTTCAACGCGGTAATATGGTCGTCCAAGAGAACATAGATGAGCACGGCAAAGTGCTGCAAAAAGGATGAATGATACAATAGTGTAGCGCAGCTCGCTGAGGAGGGAATTGTTTGCCCCTGAGACAAGCAAACGTGAGTGGCAGGTGCTCTGAAACTTAAAGTGAGGTAGAATAATAAGCTTCACCGCTGGTGTTCGACTGCGAACGAGCGCTAGTCAATATGTGAACGAACCATGGATTCAAAAGCTGGGTAAAATAGATGAAATTGCTATGATTAGGTAGCAGACGGACAACCGTTCGGCGGAGCTGCACGCCACCAGGCGTGTCCCCAGGTTGTGACTTAAAGGAGCGCTCCTCTTGATGAAACGAAAGAAGTAGAGCCGCGATCATAGAGACCATGAGATGACTAGGCCGCAGTAAGCTGGGAGTCGTCAGGAATCGTCTAGAAGGACGAAATTGGTGGACACTTAAAAGATAAGCCAGTCTAGTTAAGTGGGATTGAGAATGGCCAGAGACAAGCGGACGCAGATTAGTTGAGATAGAAAAAGTAGGTGAGATTAGGGGGCGACGGAGAGATAGGTCAAGAGAAATAAAAAGAACAGAGCGGCGATCACAGTGACCATGAGGCGACTAGGCCATAGTAATTTGGAGGTGGTCAAGATGAGTGAGAGCCAGATTAAAAGAGGGGAAATGGGTGTGGCGCTTTGGAGACAAGAAGTTCTAGTAAAATTGGGTTTGAGAACGGTCAGAATTAGGCTTATGAGGCTACACAGAATGCATATATTTGCAGTAGTCTATGCACAGACATAGTCATCAAAAACCTTGGAAATCAAAGGAAGGTACGGTTTGCGTAAAAAGAAAACCGACTACAACATAGCAAAATCCATGGTTTCTTCTGAGGACAAGATTCTATCCGGTTGTCCATGGCGAGGTAGGGTGTTGACTAAGGGGCACCACCTGCAGCCTTTGGCTGAATAGCCTACTTGCAAGACAGCAGAGCAAATTCAAGGAATCGCAGCCATTGGAAGCCGATGACTGAGTGTTCGGTGTATACGCCTATCCTTGGGTCGGTTGCCAAATAAGAGCCCCATCCTGCACACAATTTCAGCGTCGTTCGCTGGAACACAATGCTCCACCAAAATGAAGCAAGGGACAGTGAAGTTAGTTAGTAGCGAGTCACATCCACTACGTCGCAGTGCTGTTAAACGGACATTGCTAGCTTTTTCTACGGAAAACGGTCGTTAGGCGGAAACACACCATGTCCTGAAACACTGCCGCCGAGTTAGTTGTTAGAACAGGATGAACAAGAAGCATATAGCTGGCACCACGTGGAAGTTGTTCAGCAAGCCAACCAGGTTATAAACTGCTTAGACCTGACCCGTTTCCGACCATCGCGATAACGGAGTAGCTTTTAGCCGCATACCTACCTTAATTTTTTAGAGAATGTACACGTTCTGTTCATGGGATAAAACCCAGCTCTTTCTGTTTATGGTTTTAGTCTGAAGCTTTGGTGCATATGAGCGCTGACAGTGTTGCTAGAAGTCCCGTAGATTTCATTCTTAGCCATTCGGCTGCAGATGCGTGATAAAGAGTGAATGATCTCCTAGAGCAAATTGAAGTAACTTTTGTGTTCGTCAGCTGCAAGCTGAATTCCTTGAAATTACGTTGTAGTTACACTGACACCAGTCCGTGGATCTCAACACTAGATTCATGGAAGGACAAGCTTTGTCAGTCTTAGATCTTGTTTTTTCTGAGTTGCTATACTTCGTTAAAGACTTTAGGAACCACCTCTGGGGACTAGTGACCACGTTTGGTAGACAATCAAATAGGCTGACTTTCGAGATCATGCGAAGACCAACAGAGGAGGTCGGAATATACAACGAGCGAATTTTTAGGCAACCAGTGAATACTGCGACTTTGCATTGTTATTCCAGCAAACGACGATGTTCAGACCGCGTGGCTCCATTTCACGTGTTACTCTATTGCAGTGTCCTGTCTTTATATCCCGATAGTGAACAGACCACTAGTTGGTTCAGTGGAGCTGTAGGCCAGTGGGCATGTCTCTAGGTTGCCGAACAACCTCCTCGTGGTGCCAGCTGGGTGGTTCGGGATTTTCCCGTTCCAGCAAATGGTTCGGCGGCAGTGTTCCAGGACGTGGTGGGTTTTCGCCTGGCAAGTGTTCTCCCTATAAAAAGCCACATATGTCCGTTTAACAACACTGTGACGTGGCGGACGTGACTCGCCACTAAATAAAGTCACTGCCCCTTGCTTCATCCTGGCGAAGCATTGTATTCCAGCAAGTTGATGCTGTAATTTCGGGGAGCATTGGGCCCCTGTTTGGCAAAGGAACAAACGGAAGGCGTATGAACTGATCAATCAGTCACCGGCTCCCAGTGGGCGCGATTCCCTGAATTCGCTCCGCTGCCTTGCGGACAGGCTATTCAGCCAAAGGTTCGGGGTAGTGTCCCCTAAGTCAACACCCTACTTCGGCTTGGGCAACCGGGTAGTATTTCGCCCTCTGACGAAACCGTGGACTTTGATGTGTTGTGTTGTGTTTTCTTTTACTATTTCTGTACCTCGTTTTGAGTTCCATGGTTTCCGATAGTGCAATGTCTATTCATAGACTGTTGCAATATATATATATATATATATATATATATATATATATATATATATATATATATATATAGGTTGCAGGTCGGAATTTGTGTTCATTGCGAAGGTAACTGTAAATAAGTCTAGGTTGTTCGCAGGCCGCATCGGTAAGCATCTGCAGACAATCAGCAGGTAGCGTCCTAGAAAGCGGCAGGCTGTGGGCTGGTCAGCTGGATCCGCATTAAATACTACAAGTGCTCGTAGGACGCTGAGGCAAAGCCAAGGTGACTGGCTATAGAGCCAGTGATCACTCACTTCTGCGATCAGAAATGAGTAGTTAAGTCGACAGACATAAAGTGGCTTGTCATGCTAGATCACCGCTGTCTTCGCAGCTTAGCTCATGTCTGGTGGGAGCACCGCGTGAGCGATGAGCGTATTTGGTGCAGGAAGAGCGAGTGAATCGTTCAGCACCATAATATCAAGCAGCCGGCTACGATGGCTAAATTACGTCCTGCGCATGCCAGAACCCTGACTTCCGTGTCGTGCATTGTTTGCGCGACCCGGGTGTGTATGGAAGAAAAGGAGAGGTGGCCAAGCGATGACTTGATCAAATGACGAATATGAGTAGAAATTAATTTATTCACTTCGAAGTTGGCGTCGGTTAGTGTGTCCTTACTTCATAGCTGGAGTCAGAAAGACGATGAACACGTTCGGTTGGATACACTAGTTGATATAACAAGGAACCGAGCTCAATGGCGTTTGTGTTGAGAGTTTCCTTGTCCCTCCCTATCCCGCTTATCTTCACTTCCAACCAAGACGCATCATATGTTATTAAGTAGTCTTCCGCCCGTATATTTTGCATTCTATAATTTTCAGTAACTTGATTCTTCGTATGTCTTGTCCTTATGTATCGTGGCAGAATAGCTGAAGTGTGTTTCTCACCTTCAGCTAATGTGTAATGATGATTACGATGACTCAACAGAGTACAGATGAACCAACATGATGGCCACCAGCTTCTGCGAAGGCGTATGAGCACCCATAACTGTCAATGGTTTTCGTGCTCGCCGGCGCTTTAGGAAATTTCTCATGACCTCCGCGCAGCTTCACTCGGTCTAATTGGGGATCTCGAGATTGTTCCAACTCGAAAACCGTGTTAACCGGCGCTCAGCGATTCGCGATATACGTCAATCGCCCCGCTACCTTGCGGGTCATGTCTTTTGGACCCAAAGCTCCGGGTGGCGTCCATAAGTCAACCATTTCCTCGCTTTGAACAACCGGCAAGCTCCATGCCCACACAACTTGTGGATCAATGTTTTAACAACTTTCCGCTCGCTCTGGTGCTGTCTTTGCCGTCCGACAATGCTGCTCTCAGACGAGGTGCTGGAAGCCGAAAATGTTGAATAGTGCAAATACTACGCCACGGTACAATTACATTATTCTACGTTTGTTCAACTTTCCCAATCTTTGTAATCCCTCTCCACAACACTCGCCTAAGTGTGCGCTGCCAACTGGTATTGACAAGTCTTTGTTAGCGCCCCGTATCTAATTCAAGCTGACAGGATTTGGGGATCGGAGGCGGATGCAGATCAGATCGCAGACAGCCGTTGCTCGCACACTAGAGACTACTGCCATTGATGTCTGCTGCCTCACTTAAACCCGATTACAGGATATTAGCACGACGCTATGACTAGTTTCACCGTCTGCAAGTTCCACTGGCATTTTCACACTGCACCTACTCAGAGACTTAACCACCGAAAGCGCTGCTCTTGCCGTCGTGGGGAATGTGTTGAGCACACGTGCTGAGACAGGCTATTAGACTGCATCGCTGTCACCAGTGGACTCCACGCGATCCGAAGTGAAACCCCAGTGCGACTGTCCAGCAGCGAAGCCAGCAGATGTTTCGTGTCCGTTGTAGCAGTAGATGCTCCCACACACTGCAGCCCAGGGTCAATTAAAGCCAAGTTCTATGATCATCTGACAAACTTTCTGCGGGATTAGCGCCGCACGGAATTCGTGATGCTTGCCGGGGACGCGCAGGTCGACAGATTCGAAGTTGAGGAAATTGAACTCGGTGGTCATAATGGACATGATAATTGCAGAACACAATGATGATCGCCAACTTAAACTTTGCGCCGATCACGGCCCGTTCCTGTCGATTAATAGCTTTCGGCGATTCTAGTTTCGAAGCGCCACCTGGAGGCTCCTGTCATCTGGCCAGTCACAGAAAAACTAACCACACTACAATCTGCTATCGCTGGCTGGGCTGCGTTCAGGATTGCAAATCAATCTTGATCACCTAACTCACTTCAGGCTAAGAGATGATGTGTGCAAAAGTGACTCTACGTCCTGGTGTTCACAACAACGCCGCCGCAAACGGCTTGGCATGGCTACGCCTTCTGCCTCAGGCGTTGTCAGAAGTTTTCAGGATGCGTTGATCTCATCTCAAGAACCCCACATGCTCAGATGGTGAAACTCACTGGACACACATGCGCAGCATCATGCATAACTCTGGATCCTGCCTGGTCTGGATTTCACCAGTGGTCTTGTCAATCACTGGATCCCTGCACGGTCACTCCAGATTCCCGAAGCTCGTCGAGCAATTCCTAATGGTGTTGGATACCATTCACTGAGCAGCACTATCAACGCTAAACTCAAACAGCTCCTCCAGGGCGATCCCGAGGTCTGATAGACTCGGTGGGTCATAGAGATGGAGCAAGCATCCAGCTAGGAAAATCTTTGTAAGCTTTTCCCTCACATCCAATACAAGGTCAGTAGAAGGACGAGTGTAACCAAAATTTTGTGCGAAACCAACGGCGAACCAATCCACTGTCAGCAACGTCGACTTGTGCGTTGGGTCGAGCATTTTGAAGAGCACTTTAACTGACCAGCACCATCGGTTGTATTCACTCAAGAATCCAGGTATGTAAACGCTTCACGACCATCTGAAATTGAAGTTGCTTATTAAATTCGACCCATAAAGCAGCACAAAGTCCGACACATATGAACGTTCCCTAGTTCTTTTCAAAGATGGGAGCTAATGTTCCACATTCAAGAGGTTTGGATCAGCGAAGCAATTCCGTCTGAAAAGACGCTAGCGGATATCAGGCACGTCTCACAAAAGGTGCCGAAACTGCGTTAACCACAGAGGAACTATTCTCATCTTCGTTGCAGCCAAAGTGCTCGCCGCCCTGATTTTATGGTGGCTCGTCCTGGTCCGCGAACAGAAAATACGCAGAGAGCAAGCTGTGTTCTGCTCTGGCCGGAGTTGTATCGACTTCATCTTTACGCTCCGCCAGATACTCGAGCATCGTCAAATGTTCGGCTAGCCAATGATCATTGTCTTCTTAGATATATGAGGCGCGTTAGCCGCAGTTGACCGATCTGCTCTCTGGAGTTGTAGAGAAAAGAAGTGCCAGAGAGGTATGACATCAATCTTCAAACCATCTATCCCAGTACCTCAAGTCGAGTGCGGGTGTACAGCAGAAGTTCGCCCCTATACTATCACCAGTGGCGAGAGATAGAGTTGCACAGCATCACCATTCATGTTCGATTTCCCTATGGACGACAAGCTAGAAAGTGCTCCGGAGAAGTGCAAGCTCAGTGGAATCGAGTTGCTTCTGAGGAGCCGATTACGCGATTCGGAGTATGCAAACGACATCGTCATAATTTGCGATTTCTCACAGGTCGCCCAAAATGTGCTGTGCAGGTTGGAGGTGCTACCAAGTTTATGATGACTCGCCTTTTCGAAGTGTGAGACTCTCTTAAACGATTGGGTAAGAGCTGTTCTTACCCTGACCCTTTCAGTTCATTTTTTGGAAATGGGAGACAACTTCGTTTACCATGGGAGCTGCATCAGCGCCAATGGTGTAAAAGATGAGGTCAATTTGCGCGTCCCTAAGGCCCGGGTGGTTTTACTAACCTCCGCCATCTATGGCGTCGACAAGACCTGAACCTCTCTTTGAAGCGCCGACTCTACAATGCCGCGGTAAGAGTGATATTCTACGGTGGCCAGACTTGATTTTTTCGTGCAAAGAATGTTCAGAGGCTGTCTGTTGTGGATCATTGCGACCTTTGCAGCATTGATGGTGTACGATGACAACATCACGTTAGTGATGAGGATGTTTACCGAAGGATTTTCAGATCAGACAGAAGTTGTCGACCGCTGAGTCACAGAATTTCACTGCACAGGCTTTTGTGGCTTGGATATGTGTTTCACATGTCTACAGAGCGTTTATCTCGCCGTGCAGTTTTTGCGCAAGCAAAAGTCAGCTGTAAATGAAAAAAAGGTGGTCAAGGAGCGAGTTGGCCCTAAAGTATGGAAGCGCTGACCACAAATTCGGCCGTGGTTAGGCGCTCTTGGTTTCCTGGTTGGGAGTGCAAGGACCACAGGCAAACATGGAAATCCTATCGAACATGGCAAAAACCGTACACATTGGTGGAGATGTGAGCTCGCACCCACATAGCTACAGCATTACATTTATCCTCTTCTCTCTTTTCAGGACCATGTTTTGTATGAATGCCAATTGCACTGTTGGTCAAGTGTTTATATATATATATATATATATATATATATATATATATATATATATATATATATATATATATATATATATATATATATATATATATATATATATATATATATATATATATATATCACCGTTCCTGTTGATACCTCGGGAACGCAACGCCTGACAAAGCGTAGTGGTTGGAAGCAATAAACATCCTAGAACGCAGCAGGCAGTTGGAGGATGTGATCAGACGGTTTAAGCGTAACTGAGGACCCAGAGGGGTTGATGCAAACTACTAAGTGCTGAGCGTCAGCAATGGGCATTCGGTGAGAACTGAATATCAGCAATGCTGTGCAGACATTGGGGTGGTCAAAGAGGACTGCTCTTTCAGTGAACCAGGGCAATGGCTAATGAAGAAGCAATCACGGCGCTCACATATTGTATACCCAACTGTTGGTTGGTGGAGCAAATATGTCACTTTCGCGGACTATTAAGAAGTACACGGACCTCGCGAATGAGCGTAGAGGAGACTAAGTGAACCGGCCGACTTTTGAATGGTTGCTAGGTGACTGTAAAGGCTGGTGGCATGATGGCAAGTCCTGTACCAAGGCCACAGACATCAAATGTGGGCAGCATGAGAAAGCGAATAAAAACTGCTGCATGTGGACAAACGATTGAGATGTTGCTATCCTGATAGGAGTTAGGTGGACGCAGCCAAGTAGCATTTGACAAAACCAAAAGCGGGACGCAGCTGCTGTCATGGTCACCACAGGACTGAACGGAAAGGTTACTGATAGTAATCTGTGGAAACCGAATTGTCGGTTTCAAGGAGTTGCTACGAGTAAAGTCCGGCAACAGAGGAATGCGGCATGGCTACAAACAAGCTTGGTAGCCAAGCATGAATGTTCTATTTATATACCAAGGATCACAGGGAATGTGTTGTATGTTTAATGGCTAAAGGAACCGTAACGGTAACTTGGAAGCTGATCATGAGTTCACCCTCGCGGCAAGCAAATAATTAAATATGTGGAATTTTAGGGTATTAAATATTCTTGCCAAGTATATGGGTGAAAAATAGCATAGCAAGTAGCAACAATGCACATACTTTTCGACCGATCTGAGACGAACAAAGATAACCCGCCCATCGACGGAGGATTTGATCGGCTTCGTCAGGGGGGAGACAGCACTAAAAAACAGATGTAGCTCGTTTAGAATGTATTACTGTTTTAAATACGATTGAAGTCGTGTATTAGCAGTATTAGGAGTGGAGTAAGGGTGTTAAAAGAATAGACGTATATGTTTAGTAACCAGAGTAAATTCAGGTCAATGCTTAAAAATCAGGAAAACATTCATTGCGTTAGAAATCAATAAAACATTAAGCATTTAGGGAGACGGAAAGAGCAGCAGCGAGGTTCCCGACTAAACAGAACAGATTAGTGGTAGTAGTAGTTTAGTTGGAAGTCCGGTGTAGGGAAATAATGTGCAGCGGTAATACAAGTGTGCCACAGTTCGGGTGTGCATTATGTGTCTGCTGTAGACAAAACAGCGTGAAATAGGCACATAAGGAAAACGAAGCAGAAGATGTCGTTTAGTGAAAATCTATGAAGTCTATGGGTGCTGTAGTAGGTGAAACTCAATCGAGCTCACTTTAGCAAGCCAAATGGAACGTTCCCACTTGTCAAAAGATTCCAGGTAGCGACAGGCGTCGGAGTACAGGCCGATGAAGCACAGTAATTCTATGCCCTCGTCAAGATGACCGTTAGAAAGCAGATTTGTAGCCACTAACTTTACAGTGCTCAGGAAAGTGTCCTCAAAAATTTGAATGGAGCCGGATGAGTTTGAAAAGCGCAGTCGACCAGAAGCACTTGCAGCCAATAAGCAAGCTCGGTGCATGTTGACAGTGTAGGTGGAAGAGTCTGGTGGCGTTTCCAGTAAAAGGGACACGGCACGCTCGTGCTGGCCTGCGTGCGAAGGTGAAGAAAGTTAGAGGTCAATAAAAGAATCAGACAAGCGATATTTCAACAAATAAATCTGAATTCATGAAGAACTTATTAACGTGGATACAATTTGAGAAAAAACCTAATCGTAAGACGCTGGGTAGATACCAATGGAGCAGATGTCACATCAACTGAAAAAAAGTGAAGTCAACGCGAAGTGTGGAAACTTCACCATTATAAATACACGTTTGCTGAGAATTGGAAACATCCCACAGATAATGTATCAAAACAAAATTTATAAAATACAAAAACGAACAAAAGCAAGAAAATGCTGAATAGCACATTACGCATTGAATTTAGATCGTAGTTGGAGGGGAGGACAAAAAGACTCACAACACAAACGCTATTGAGGTCGGCTCCTCGCTAGGTCAGCAAGTGTAACTAACCAGACGTGTTCATCGGCCTTCGGACTCCAGCCCGGCAGTCGGGTAACACCAACCCACATCAAGTTCGAAGTGAAAGACTTCATTCGTGTTGACCAAGTCATCGCCTGACCTACCCTCCTCTTCTTCCAACCAAAACCCCGGCGCGAAACAATGCGCGACGCGGAAGTCGGTGTGCTGACATGTGCAACACGTGGCTAAGCCATCAGAGTCTGGTGCGTGAGTTAACGGTGCCAAGCTGTTCACTCGCTGTTCCTGCACCAACTACGGGACACCGAACACGCTCACTGCTAACGCGGTGCTCCTACCAGACATGAGCTAAGCTGCGAAAGTAGCGATAATTAAATGTGAATAGTCTCTTTATGTCTGTTAACCTGATTGGCCAGGTTTCCCCACTGTACAAGAGGGTTGAAAGGACGTCTGCATTACAAACTCTGCCCTTCACGTCTAGAGTGATGTCGCACCGGCGCCAGAGGTGGCGGATATTGGCTATACGGTTCGTAACATTATCGTCTATTCCACAGGTGCTAATATAGCTGCTTAGATACTTGAATTTCTGAACGACTTCTCGCTGCTCACCAGATAGGGTCAGCGCAAGAGTGGGTCCCCGCCAACCATGGAGAAGAACTTTGCATTTCGACGGTACAAGGCACAACCTAAGACGACTGACAGCTAGTGCCAATCTGTCCAGTTCTGCTGGGCACGTAGGGGGGCTGTCATAGGTAAAGTCAATGTCGTCAGCGTACTCAAAGTGTTAAGTGTGCAGGCAGCTCCACACATTACAAGTCGTGTCCGATGAATGCAGTTCCCATGACTTCGATGGAGAGGTAAAAAAAAGTAAGGGTGACAGCGGTCAACTGTGTCTAACAGCACTGGAGATATTGAAAGACAGTTACGGCTTCCCATAAACCCTCACGCTGCTCGAAATACGCGCGTACAGCGCGTTGATAATGTTCACGTATGTGTCGGGCATATCTATCCTGAGCAGACAGTCCCAAAGGACACATCGATTCACCGAAACAAAGGCACCTTTTATGTCCAGAAACACGGCTACGGTGGGTCGCCAATAAATATGGAGGTGTTCCAATAACATGTAATGTATAGATGTGGTCACTGAAGCCTCGATTTCGACGAAACCCGGCTTGTTCCTTGCGAATCTGGCTTTCACGGGTGGCAGTCAGTCTGTGGAGAACGACAGACGTAGGTAATGTAGAGGCAATTGGAATCAGACTGATTCCAGTATGACTGCCACATTCTGATGGTGAGCCTCCCTTGAAAATCGGGACTATAACGGAGCGGTAGAAACTTCAACTACATAAGGAATTCTAATCCTTAAATGAATGCAACGGTTGTAAAGGCATCTGATGCAAAGATTCGGAAGCCGAAAAAAGAGTTTGGGGAGCCGTTCACTGGTCGCAATCCACTGGTGTCTGATGACATTGGGAGAAGCATTGGAGATTAAACCTGTTACGAAGCGAGAGCGGGCACTGGATAGCTACTTGCTAGTAGGTGTGAATAAGTTGCCATTAGGTGAAGTGCAGAAAGTTGAAACCGAATCGGTAAGTCAATGCGAGTCCAGGAACCAGTGCAAGCCAGGTAAAAAACAAATTAATGTAGGCCTAGTGCACCCGAACAACGGTATTTTCAGGCAAGTAGCGACCGAGCATCTGCATACTCACTGGACTGGCAAACGGCTGTGTATCGAATGGATTAATCTCGTTGGGTTGATAGGTAATCGGTAGAGTCACAGTAAGGCGGAATCAGGGCACGGTATAGTGTGTGAGAAGCATAGTTTGAATGTTGCGAGCGCAAAAGAAAAGTCCTAGTAGTCAGCACGTAAATGGCAAGCAATTATTTAGTATGTTGAAGAAAGAAGTGGGTGAATTCATCAAAACGCGTATAAATATATTTTGAACATACAGTATCCTGATAAAATCACCACCCATTGGCGACTCCTCGACCAAATTAGTATTTTGAAGAGTGAATGGGAAGGAGATTAGGATGAATTAAACTGATGGAGGAAGTCATTCAGTTAGAAATTAAAAGACCAAGTCAGGAATATTGTGTCACATAAAGTAACTCTTTTCTCGTAAGAGAAGGTGCAAAAATGTGCGTCCACCGAGACAAGTTAAAAAACCATAGGAATATTAAAATGCATGAGTTTGGCATGTTTTAGTCGATCAAAACCAGAAGGATGGAAACGTGTGGGCGAACTTGAAGTAATTTAGCACAAATGAAGTAAAATAATACAAAAATAGGTAAATGGTATAGTTCGCGACGGTGCGAGCCGCAGGCCAAATGGGCTGTCTGATCAGAGAGCAGAGAAAAATGCTTGATTCTCCCAATATAGTTCCAAGAGACGCTTTGCATTGCTCGATTATTTAAAAGTAATAGAAACGTGGAAAGTAAAGCACAGGAATAAATGTAGGCATAAACAGCAGTTCAAGTGAAGTAATACAACCATCCGTGGAACATAAGGTACAAGTGCTAACAGCAAGCAAATCTGATCCTAGTTGAGACTTCTGAAGATCGGAAGCTATACACCAAAACCAAGGTTATACTCAAACCACCAAATATATGTGAAGACCAAGGGAAGACATTTGATATAATAAAAGAAGTAAAAAAGAAACATCACTCCTTGCACACAAGAGATAGCACCGCGCAGAGAACTTTTCACCTTTCCTTCTGTGAGGCAAAGATGACCTTTAAACCAGTCAGTAAAGACGTGTACAAAAGGGGTGGGGTATATTTCAAAGTAGACTGTATACTAGGTACGTAAAGGTAGCTAAGAGAAGAGGAAGAAGCGTGGACTTACAGTTCCTATCCATTGCAGATGTGAGGGTACGTGCAGCATGCGATATGGTTATGTACAGTGGTGCAAACGCCATGTCTGCCACCAATAACAATTTGAGAGAAAGTCAAATTATCGCGGCTTTCAGTAGTAAAATCGCGGAACAAGCCGTTCTCAAGTTGCAACTTCGTGCATCACACGAAATAATTACCAACTAGTTAAAGAAAATGAACGGCACAGCTGTCAGAGTTTCTCTAATGCTGCTATAATTACAGTAAGTTGGTCAATGAGTGTACGGGTCGATGTTGAGGCGGACAAAGTATCTGATGTGACTGATTGTTTGACTCAAGGGTGAAGGACTTGCGTTTGACGTGCGCTAACGCGTGTATTGCTGCCTATGGACGTGCATGATGACAGTGTTTACAAGGTATCCAGAAATTCGATGCCGCAACCTCAACCAAAAACCGTAAGAAAATATTAACCGTTGCTCAGAGAGAAAGCTAACGCCCAATCCGAATTTACGGGGACTACTGTACGCAGAAGGTAGGCCTCTATGCCTTGTGCTATCGTCGGCTGCGAGTCTGTCATTACTATCGACCGCATTTCGGTGATCTTCTTATGTTGAAGCTATTGCTTCATTTGCGAACGGCGTGTATCACCCGCGGACACTGGTACAAGCTTGCGGTGCCGAATATAAAGCGAGTTATTCAACCCGTGTGCTAGGAATGGAGATTGACAAATGTTCGGAACAGTCTGTCAGAACAAGTCGTGGAGGCCAAATCTGTGCAGCAGTTCAAAATTTTGTTGGATTTACAATTCACTACTCTATTATTCAGGGAACGATTGCGCACTGTTAATGAGATCTTACATATGTGAGCCCAAAAATACTGTAAACTACGTAAGAGCTTGAAGAATAATTAGAATAGCAGATACATTTTCTTACCTTAATCATATTCCGATGGACCTGTGCTTATTTAAATTCCTACTTGTTTCCACTATACTGTGTTCAGTTTCAATAACGATCCCCATTGAACTGTAAAGTCACGCTTCCGACTTGTGTTCTCTCCAAAATGCCTCGTTCTTCAAACCGTTGTGTTAAGTACTGTAGCTTGTAGTATTATCTACACAGAAAATACTGTCACTAATGCCATTCTCACTTCTCTTCTTGGTTTTCGTTGCTATTCTACCCAGATTAACCCACATGAGGCTTGCGACCAGCTGAAATCGTTCAGGTCAGGAGCCTCATTACATATCACTTTAGTCAACATTCGCACTACATGCTCCGTGAATTGGATGACATGGTTCCCACTCTCCCGGAATTGTCGTGTGCCGTGTCGCTGAAGCATGTGTATAGGATATTTTAGTCGCACTCAATTTCCCACCGTTTGTCCCAAGTTCTGTTGACATTGACCGTGTTTGCGTCTCTGGCAATAGCGAACTGATGGCTTAAGGCCTCAGCACTAGCTTTGTTACCCCCGACATTCTTAAACGAAAACAATGCACTAAAGTGGTTAACGGGAATAGTTGCGAATCGTCATCGGGGTACGTGGGAACGACCTAATTGCTTGGGCCTTTTCTGTTTCCTTGTATACAGCTGCACCTCAGTGGTCAGGAAAGACAATTTCTCTTGACATCTCCCTAGGGGGATCGTTGCTGGTAGCACCAGTGTTCAGTTAGGTCGGTTTCCAGATTTCCTTCAACTACTGCTGGACGATTTCGGGATTGGTGTGTACCGGTAAGGTAAGGATGATAATCGCTTCCTTCCGATTTGAGTCGATGATATTCTCTTATAACCGTACCACAGCTTTGCAATATGTGCGTTTCAATCGCTTTATCTGGCAATTCCCGATTTCATCCATGCCGAAAGACCTATCTGCTAATAGTGTCATAAACTACAGGTTGCGTACATTATTGTAAGCTTATCAGTCGATATGCAGTACATGCACGGATTCCGTGATTATTTCCGAATTTCTTATCGTTTATGGAAACGGTGGAGCATTACCAAGTTGGTCATGAGTACCGTTCTTTACATAGTTTAAAGCAGGACCATATCCATTTCGCAGTGAAGAGGTTATAAAGTAGTTCTTTTTGTTATCAGTGTTTGCAAGCTTCTGCTGCTGTCTTCTGGAAGCTCGTAGTCAGCTCAACGGAGCTTCTGTACTTGGTTTGAAGAGGTTGCCACTTGCCCCTTCTCTTCCATCAGAAGACCAAAGCCAGTGTGCGGCTCGCCCGCCTACTGTCCAGTCACCCGAGGCGATCATCAGAAGCTCCAATTGGTCTGACACCTCTTTGCCAGGCTAGTTCCGAGTTTACCAGAACTGCCGTACCCAGACCGGTGGGAGAAAGTAGGCCACTATGCTTTGTGCTATCGTTGGTTGCATTTTGGTGATCTTCCTATGTTGAAGCCACTGCTTCAGTTGCGAACGGCATGTATCACCCGCTGACACCGGTACAAGCTTGTGGTGCCCGATATAAAGCGAGTTATTCAACCCGTGTGCTAGGAATGGAGATTGGCAAATGTTCGGAACAGTCTGTCAGAACAAGTCGGCCGTCACCAATCTTTCCAAGACTCATGAATAACGTTTTGGGTGGGATGATCGGGAGGCCGATTTCTGCAGACCACGTGCAGAGGCGGTCGAGGTCTTGATGAAGGTCGTTTGGGGTGCTAATCACTCTCTAAATATTTAACTTATCCTAAACAGGGCACTGGACGACCAAAGAAGCAGAGGTAGATGGTTTATGTGGATTAGGATCAAAGTGGACACCAGCATCGTGCCCTTGGGGTACGCCAGTAGTAGATGGATACTAGTCAGTCAGATGGCCTTTAACCTATACCATCCACTTTCGCCCAACAAGAAACTCCAGGACCTGCTGATGTAGTGATACACCAACATCGCACACTCAGCCTGTGGAGGAGAACTTCGCCGTTCAACTTGTAGAACGCCTTAGATAAGCTGATGTAGATTTCTCCACAGAATGCCTTTGGTTTCCTGCCTGCAACCACTCGTGTCTTGTCAAGTGCAAGTTCTTAAAGCAAGAGCGACCTAACAGGAAACTGTGCTGCGCGGGTGTTAATAGATTATTCGATTGGAGCAGCTGTAGTAGACCCTTCTTCACTATCTCATCGACAACCTTTGCCAAAATAGGTGTCAGACGAATTAGCCTTTGCTGGGATCACAGCCTTTCGGAATCACCCAGGGCACCGAGCACTTCCGATCAATCAGCAGTAGACTGTTAAATAGGTCAGTTACAGAAGGTGGTATGATGGCGAAAAGGGACTTGGAAATGAGTGGGTGAAGCCAATCAAGCTCAGCCGGTTGGGTGCCGTCAAGATCGGTGAGTTGTTGATGCACCTTTTAGCACCGAAATGCAGACCGTTAAATTCGGTAAGAGTGATACACGTCGAACTCGTTGCAGACAACTGCTCAGTTGTAAATAAAGAGCCGAAGTGCATCGCCAACGCGGACGCACACGCAATGCTGAAGATTAGAGAGTGTCCCTCCGAACCCCATAGCAATGGTAGATTACTTGCAAGTTTCAAGCGCCGATTCATGTGAGCAAAGATTCTCTTCAAGGCGACCACTGCGACGGTAGCGTGTTTACGCTGTTATACGCTTCATAACCCGTGGAAGATCCAGAGAGGAGGAATTCATCACATATTCTGCGCTGTCGCTGAGCCACTTCACTATACTTGTCGAACCAGTGTGATTTGATTGCTCCAAGTCCTCCACATTTCAGTGGCACAAATCAAGGACGCAGTAATATCATTCCTTCTTCCATAACTCCAACAGTCTTCCATAGATGTGACAAAAGACAGGCCAATCCACTTGGCTCGTTGCTCGAGTTAGATCGTCGAAGTCAGTTTCCAGTATTTGTAAGCTTGTCCAAGCGGACGGGAATACAGTGTAGAACCATGTTGGCTGCGAGCACTTAGTAATTGCTTGCTACTAAAGGCTCCAGGATCTGAACATCATTTATGTTTTGTTACAGCTTGTTAACATCAAGTTGAGACAGGACAAAGTTCAGCGCCGCGTTTTGTGTATCGGCTTGAATATATGGTGTGTCGCTCAACATTCAAGTGGCAAATCTACGAACTTTGCCTCAGCCTCACAATATCTGCGTATAAGTCGAAGTTAAAGCTAGTGTATTCGGTGATGGTTGAAATAGCCCTTGAGGAAAAAATGGGCGCGATTCATGTGGTCCCAGAGGTGCGGCAACCGATCCAAACATCGGCTCAAGGGACTGCGATAAAATGCACCCATAGGCTTCTCTATTATGCTCAAATAGGTCGCTTCTGTAGACGTTCACAAGTCTCCTACACAGAGATGACCAGAGGTAGTGTAAGAGGCCACCGAGGGCAGTCGAGAGTCTATCGCAGCGGAAGGCACAGTACCCACTAAGCACGAGTTCCTGAGCGAGCGCAGCAGAATCCAGCCACGTCCCTGCGAGTCTCACTAAGTCTGGCCGCTCAGATGTAACGAAACGAGAGAGTTCGTCGCACTTGTTCATAAGACTGCAAACGCTGATAAATGCTACACACATGTCGCAGCAGGAAGCACCGAGCGTGCTTAAGGTGTAAGCGATCTGTTTATCATGTTTTGCAGAATATGGGAAACAACTCGAACTTATAATACGGAGATTTGTTTCCCATGACCATCACGTCTTTAAGCGCACTAATGGCAGACCTGAACCATTTGCAAAGGATTTTCGACAGTTGCAAAATATACGTTTGGGACCGCGGTCAACCACAGGCGAATGTTGACCGATCCGCACCTAACGCACTAAGGTGACATAATTCGATGGAGGTGTCAGTAAGTCGGGAAGTAAGAATAATGTTCTATCACCATCGGAGACAATCAGTGTGGCGCTCGCACAAGACCCAAACCGGATTCAGCTGAGAACCCGTAAGTGCTGTTTCCTACGGTCAGTGTAGGAAGAGATATAACTAGCAATGTCTTACCAACCTCCAGTGAGGAAGATGAGGAGTATTTTAACTTTCAAGCGGTATCAATTTGACGTAAATGGCTCAGAAGGCACTTAGGAAGCGGCATCAAAAAATGTACAATGGATATCAGACGTACACAGTGGCGAAACGCTGAGCTGCAATCTTGTCGCCATATACACACAGCGTCAGCCTCGGTTAAAGTAAAAGTCACAAAGAACTTTAAGACAAGTGGGAAATTTACGCAAATGTGGTGCATGCTCACCGAGCAAAATCAGTTGATGCACACACCGATTCCAGTGAGCTTCCGTCGCTCTAGTTCGTTCCAAAACGTCGAGACGAACGAGGGCTGAGCGGCGGTACAAACTGTGCTCAGCCAACAGATCCCAAGAGAGATCTAACACGTAACGAATATCCCACTTTGTGTGACTTTTCAATAAACGATTGGCCACAACGCGCCAAAACCTGGTCTCGTAGGAATCACCGAAGAGCTGCGCAGTCCACAGACACCGTTCCACTAGGGTGTCTGAAGGTCGCATAAACACATTCTGGAAATCCGGGCTGTGGTAGATGGAATGTAGTGAAGCACAAAGTAAGATAAAACTAGCCGTCATTAAACGAACTTCTAACAAAAGCGGTAGACAAAATCAATACGAAGTGGATACTTTTGATGGCAAGTTGTAGCCACTGGTCACATGTCTGCACTGTCGATAATAGCAAGCAAGTTAAAAAGTATTGCACAAGGATGTAGCGAATAGAAACAAAGTAAAACTGACTGTGCTTGTCGCGGGTGGGCTGCATAACTAAGCAGACAGCTACAAGACTCCGATGGTGGCTGTTCGGAGATCGACAGGAATAGTACGAGCAAAGGTAGTCTGATCGCAGTGGTAAAGGCTGCAAGCACATGTCAAACAAATTTAAGTCCTTCATTCTGGTGACACAGATTTCTCCGAGTCATTCAGGCGTTCACAAGGACTGGTTCGATTCGTTTTGTTAGCAGTACTCCTTGTTTTTACCATCATTAAAATGACAGGCTAAAATTCCGGGACATTGCGATACCACTAAAGGAGTAATTTGTGGGGAAATGGAGACAGCTATCAGTCGTAAAAACCCAATTTCACCAAAAAACATTTCAGTGTGACAAAAATAGTGCGAAACTCAGGTCTATTAGTCAACTGGTGAGTTTGCGCTGCGCCAGCTGATGTGATCTGACATACATACAGAGAAATAGCCACAGCCGAATTGCATGCAACGAAATAGGATGAATCTCTCGGGACTACAAAAGGATGTGTAGGATGAGTAAATTCCTGATAAGTATGTAGCTAAAGACCAAGTAGCTACGCAGAACTTTATACACGAAGTAGAGCATGAAAGCACCATTAGCTGCACAATAGCAGTGCCCATCGTACCTAATTGAACAAAACAATGGCATAACATTAAAGTCTTGAAGTACAGGCCAATTGATGTACGAAAAGAATCAAATTCTTGGTTTTGGGCGACCAATATGCGTTTTCAAGGCTTATAAGCCCAATAGTTTGATCATAGTTGCAACTTCGCCGGTCTGCGGAATAGACTCCTAGTAGTGTCAGCAAATGGTCCGGTGGCAGTGTTCGAGGAACTGATAAGGTTTGGAGTATACAAAACCCCGTGTCCGTTTAAAGCCCCTGCAACGTAGCGGATGTGACTCGTGACTAAATAGAGTCACTGCCCCTTACTTCATTCCGGTGGAGCATTGCAAAACAACACCGTCATACTGAAAATTTGGGGAAGATTGGGTCTATGATTGGTAACCGATCAAGCGAAGGGCTATGAACTGAGCAATCAGCCACCGGCTGCCAATGGGCGCGGTTCTTTGGATTCACTCCACTGCTAATGGGTAGGCTATTTATCCAAAAGATTGGGGCGGTGTAACTTAAGCCAACTCCCTACTTCGACTTAGGCAATCAGAAAGTATCACGGCCTGAAGCATGGACTGTTGTACACTCTGTTCATCTGATGCCCCCTCTGATTCTTGTATTGAGGCGAATCTATCAAATGCCAACTGCTCATCTATTAACAACACCTGTTATCAGTCGCCTGATTCCGATGTCAGTTCCACCGCGAATCAATGGCCCACCTTCGACTCCGATACTCGTTCCGTCTGGCGTGCTTCAACGAACCTTCACGCGAATTGGAAAAAAAGCCAGTATTAGCGCGGACAATGAAATCCCTAGATAATGATGCCTACTGTCTTTTCGAAACGCGATCGTTGGACCCCAGCACTGTACTTACGCTGACATTCTCCACTAACCATGGAGCCACATATCACCAGTGTCTTGCTGGTGAGCCAGAAGCGGCCTCAGTGGGTTTAGCAGATGTACGTGTAGCAAGGCGAAAATCGAATTGCTTGACTGGTCCCCATTACCAACCGATTGTGTGTAGTTCGACCTCACGGTTCACTGAAACAATGACAGACTGCTCCCACTGTGTGCCACTCACGGCCTGAGGATCACGAACACTCGGTTTGCACTGAGTGTGAGTGATATAGCAACTTGGACGCACCCACGGAGTGGTCACGCTCACCTGCTCGACTATGTCATCGTACGTCAGCGTGATATGTGTGAAGTGTGCATGACACTTCTACTGCGTGGAGCTGAGTGTAGCACTGATCACAAATTGGTGCGGACCAAACTGTACATATATTTTCGTAAATCTATGTATTGCACTCCCGCCGTGAATCGGCGTAAATTTAACATTCTCTCTCGATACTGTGGCGAAACGTATTGAGCTGGAGAAGGCGATGGCTGCACGCCTGTGTGGTGATGTGGACTGTATAGCCACAGTGGGCGACCTGTGGCATCCCATTCGCGACCAAGTAACAGCTGCTGCCGAGGAGACCATCGGGCGCGCAAATTTTAAACGACCTGATTGGTTTGATGAGAACAATGCGAGGATTGGCGCATTGGTGTATGAGAGGCATGCAGCATTTGCTGCAGACGTCGCAGATCACAGCGACTTGGGGAGTAGGTGTCAGTTTCGCAGAATTCGACGGGGACTGACTCGAGAGCTCCGTCGCATTAAAAGTGCATAGTGGACTGAGAAGGCGAAGCAGATAGAATGCTACGCCGAACGTCGCCAACACAAGAAATTCTTTACTCCATGAAGTCGAGGTATGGACCGAGGACGCTGATCGAAGGCAGCTCAGGCGCTACCTGCACACAGACTGCAGACAATGCAGATCTGACGGAAACGCTTCGACTGTCTCTTGAACAACCGTTCAGAGATTGAGTGGCCTAGTTTGAACGGCCTGAAGCAGCATAATGTGAAGGAGAGTCGTTCGGACACGCTGACACTGGATGAGACGCAGAGAGCACTTGCTCAGCTGCGAAACGGCAAGTGAGCTGAAGGATGCGCTTGTGCTACCACTGAACAAGAGCAAAGGGAGCAAGCAGTGTTGCACGAATTATCGTGGCATTAACTTGCTGAGTTGTGTGGGGAAGGTGATTGCCCACACAACTTAGCAGGTTGATGCTACGGTAATTCGTGCAACATTGCTTGCTTTCTTTACAATTGTACAGTGGCAGCAGAAAGGCATTCTACAGCTCAGCGGGCACCTCCTCCACAATCCATCCGCGTTGCACCAAGTGGTGCAACGTGGGACCGCCGTGTTTCGAGACTTCAGGCGAGATCCCGTCAGCACCGGCACACTTGTTTCGCAACTGAGCAAATGCTCTATGCGTCTCATCCAGTGTCGGCGTGTCCGTCGAATTCAGCTTCACTAAGTGCTTCTTCAGGTCGTTCAAGGTAAGCCAGTAAATCTCTGAACAGTAAGTGAGTTCGCAAGATCTGCATTATGTCTGCAGTCTGTGTGCAACTAGCGAGCAGCGTCCTCAGCGGCTCCAACCTCGGTCCACACCTCGACTTCATGGAGTAAAGAATTTCTTGTGTTGACGACGTTCGGCGTAGTATTCTATCTGCTTCGCCTTCTCAGTCCACTATGCACTTTTAATGCGACGGAGCTCTCGAGTCAGTCCCCGTCGAATTCTGCGAAACTGACACCTACTCCCCAAGTCGCTGTGATCTGCGACGTCTGCAGCAAATGCTGCATGCCTCTCATACACCAATGCGCCAATCCTCACATTGTTCTCATCAAACCAATCAGGTCGTTTAAAATTGGCGCGCCCGATGGTCTCCTCGGCAGCAGCTGTCACCTGATCGCGAATGTGGTGCCACAGGTAGCCCACTGTGGCTATGCAGTCCACAACACACAGGCGTGCAGCCATCGCCTTCTCCAGCTCAACAGGTTTCACCACAGTACCGAGGGAGAGAATGTTAAATTTACACCGATTCACGGCGGGAGTGCAATACATAGATTTACGAAAATATATGTACAGTTTGGTCCGCACCAATTTGTGATCAGTGCTACACTCAGCTCTACGCAGTAGAAGTGTCATGCGCACTTCACGCATATCACGCTGACGTACGATGACATAGTCGAGCGGGTGAGTGTGACCACTCCGTGGGTGCGTCCAACTTGCTATATCACTCGCACTCAGTGCAAACCGAGTGTTCGTGATCGTCAGGCCGTGAGTGGCACACAGTGAGAGCAGTCTGTCACCGTTCGCATTCGCTGAACCAATGCCATGTGGACCGATAACATCTGTCCACACTGATGCATCACGCCCAACGCGAGCGTTGAAATCTCCCAGCAGAAATAGTCGGTCGCTCCTCGGCACAGACCGTATCACGGAGGATAGCTGAGTGTAGCACTGATCACGCGTGTCTTCAGGATAACCGATGGTCGGACCGTAATACTTATAAAAGTGGCAAATGTAACTCTCCTGAGTCGTAGGCGAACAGTCATGAGTCGCCCGCGGATACCAATCGGCTCACCCACCAGATGGCCACGGAGGCGGTCGGATATTGTGTATCCGACTCCATGTTCACGCGGTGCTGAGGCGGCGTTGTCCACCCAGTAGAATGTGTAGCTAGCACCTGTTTCATGCAACTGACCTTGCTCAGCGAACCGAATCTCACTGAGCGCCGCAACGTCGATGTTGTAGTGCGCCAGTTCCATCGCGACGAGTGCAGTGTGTCGCTCGGGGCGATCAGTTGAGTTCCGGTCCAGTAGTGTGCGCATGTTCCATCGCCCGATGCTGAGTGTTTTGCGCGCAGGCATACGGTTGCATTGGTGTGCAATCGCACAGGAGGTGGCTGTTGTGCTTCGGAGGTTTGCTTGAGAAACTCAGCCCGGGGCCTTTGGCTAAATAGCCTGACCCACAAGGCGGTGGGATGCAAATCAAGCGTGGAAGCGTGATTGCAGAGACTATTGATATCTGATTGTGGTCCATCACACACAGCCTTTGAGGATCTGGAGCAATTCCTCAGTGTATTTCGATCGTAGTAGGATACGCACTTGCGACCAGGGCCAGATGCAGGCGAATTTTGGCGGGTTTGCGCCAACTTGTCCAGGGCGTACCTGGCTTGATGGGGGGCAGTAGCAAACGACTGAGCTTCCGGAAGTGCCTTCGTACCGTCATAGACATGGCGTTGCGCTCGTGCTCTACGCCAATCGCTGTATACCAGTTGCCTCGCATGGCTAGGTTTTAAGGGAAGAGGGCCGTCGACTACTTCCCAACCTCCGAACAGGATGGGGTTTGGACTAGTATAGGGGAACGGCGCCCATACGTGACAGGATATCGACTGGGGTCCTCAGTCAAAGCCTTCGATTAAATGCACACCTGAAAGGCAGCGGGTCTATCACATGGTCGGTACACAGACTCATGCGGATTGCTGTGTCCTGGCTCTTAGCTAGAAGGGCGTAAACCAACTCCCACCCAGCGGCCATCACAAGGAGGCGAGCAACATATGAGCCCAATGCACAACAATGTAGCGGTGGGTACACTATCTAACAGGATATAGCCACCACAAGTCTCAGAGCTGGATAGGGTCCCCTATGGATATATATATATATATATATATATATATATATATTTATATGTATATTTATAGGTGTGTGTGTGTGTGTCTAACGAGAAGCGGGAACGCACAAAAATGGCATCGACTAAGGTAGCATATAAATCAACGTCACAAAAAAACGGCAACTGGTCACGAGCATACAAATCATTTACGTTCATAAAATGTGAGCAAAGGACCATGGGATGGAATGATCAACAAAGAGGGTGACATTACAGTGGGTCCGTGCACATAGGAGAGGGACCAGGTTTCACAATTTGTAAGTAAAAGCTAGTTACGGACACCGTAAGGTCACAAATCAAACAACGTTAGCAAACTTTTCGTGTATTACGGATACAGGGCACGAATAACTCACCTCTGTTCCAAATAGGAGAAAAATAAATCCACAGAAGATTGTATTTTTGAGAATCCGGGAGCTAGTTTGGGACGCCGAATGGTGGAACATGGCGCGCTAGAATCGCTGTAAGTGGTTCTAAAGACGTCTGCAAACGCTTCAGATGAGCCATCAGAGCGAGTGCTTCCTGCTAAACTGAGAGGTAGTTGGCTTGGTGAAGATAAGTCCAACGATTGGCTCTGGAGCAGGCATTGGATTGCAGACGCAATTTCGGCAGGAAGAAGAGAAGGCAACAGCAAGGACGCTGAAAGAGATTTAGCAATAATGATATGGGTTCAAAAAAGTTGATGCATTCGAAAACAGAGCCACAAAGACAATGTGTAAAAACACAAGGTAAGTCTCATCATGTGTGAGCGGAATGCTACTGAAACCAAGGTCATCGCATCATATAGAGTGTGGGAAAATTTTTAAAAATGTCAGTGTCAGACAGATGTAGCATGAGTCTGTGTGTAACGACCGCAGTAATACAGAAGTGACCAGCTATGAAATTTGGGTAGTGGGTCAAATAAATATAACCAGTGAGGGCGTGGGAAAATGATTATAAAAATTCAGCGTCCTAAATTCAACCAAAACTAGCAAGTCATTACAAGCGCATAAGTGTAAACAAGTATTAGAGATGTGAGTGTATAAACACGGCCCATTTTCCAAGCGATAAGGAACGATGTTCAGAATTTTTGATGTCGCGCTCAATGTGGTCTACGCACAACGTTGAGAGGCCTAAGACGCATTCGGTGGGAATATCTCGCAAGCTCCGTCTACGCAACGTTCACTTAAATCAAAGCGACGGTGGTGACGTAGAGTAATGGAAGTGACTCGTACTGGAACGACAAGGTATCTAGATCAAACGACACATGCATTACAAGATAGTAGTGGATGAATAACCAGGGACTGATGAATTTTAGTTCATGAGCAAATTCCAACATGGAGAGTGAGTGAGATGGGATGGTTGCGCTTTATTCGTGCCCGACTTGGACGTGACTCGTGCTTTCTTTACAACGTGGGGGTGGAGCAAACAAAATCAAAATTGGCTGGTATTATCCACCTATGAGGGAACGCATGAAAGTCACTGGAAAAATGCGAATACGCTCATAATCATTATCGGGATGATGAGAAAAGTAAAGCCCAGAATGTGTTAATGGGAAATAGACATTGAATCTTTATGGAAAACCACGAAACATGCATAAAGGAATAGGTTAAAAAGCAAATGGCGAGTGCCTCATAGTTTCATGATGTTATGTGACGGGGAAAAATTAACAAGAGGAGTTCGGCGTTAACAAAGTACAAATCAGTTCATCTGAACAATTAAGATCAAGGCAACGAAGCGCTGCGGATCCGGTTGCCATGACTAGCGTCGCCAGTGAAACAAGATGGATGGACGCAAATAGAGTACAAGCAAAGTAGAGTCTATTGGGTTTTCCCGAGATCAATTGAAATTTTTAGCAGATGTTTGCAAGCAGTATTTCATTTTAATAAACAACAATTTTCAATGTTATAGACGACGTACTACTTACGCCCAGGCAAGCTATCAATGCATCTCTCACAGAACGAGATGGACTAGCAGTTAAAGTATTGGGTAATGTACGCTACGATATGGTCGCGGTCATCTAGTTTCTTGTCCATGATGTTAATGTGTACCAAGAGAAAAAGATGGTAGTCAGTAGGAGCAAGGTTCAGCCCTTGTGGTGGATGTATGAGTTTCGATGCCGAGCTGGTGAATCTTGAGACGCGTCAACTTTGCCACAGGGCGGGTATGTTGTCACGTAGTAAAAGGATTCGAGCTGGTCTTGGACTTTTTTGGTGTTCGTCGACAAGCTCCAATTGTTGGGAGTAGATATTGGCAGTCACAGTGAAACTGTCAGGCAGCATTTAACGATAGATGGCGTCGTGGCGACTCCACTAGACTGACAGCATTATATTCTTGCCGTGCAGTTCGCATTTCGAGACTTACATTGGTGTTTAATCCGCTACGATCCACTGGTTAGAGTTGACACAGAGCACCCACTTCTTGTCTCTAATAACGACGTTGCTCAGCCATCGATGCAACCTGGGGTCATGTAGTGACAAAACTTCCTGCACACTTCGTTTCGGACCATTCTATTGAGCCTCCTGGATGTTGCTGACAATGTCCGCTGGAATGCGTCCTTGACCAACGACATTCGACAAATCGTAGTTAACTACTTTTAATATATGCAAAAATATTGCTGTCGCATCGTAACTTGGGGCATCCGTGTTGTAACGCTTCTCCTTTACCTCTGCTCTCTGCCACTGACGACTGTTGTACGGTTGCTAGCTGCCCTATGAGACTGCGACTGTCTGACTTCTCAGTCACGCGCCAACCCAACCGACGGAATACAGAAGACCAAGACTCGGTAAACAGGGAGTCTATCTACACCATAAGTTAACTGTATTTATAGGTAGTCGAAACATGCTAATTTAGGAGGTGAAGAGCGCTCATTTTTGTGCGTCCGATTTTCAGCCAGTGTGAGTGAGTTCCACTCCACGGATTTATCATATTGACGGTATAGTTCGATTCGTTTTACGAGGACTGGTAATTGCTGGCCGATCAATTCTCAGTCGATACCCAACTTTAGCTCCCCTTACGTCTTTATTACCTCCCCCTACAACTTGATTGCTCCTACCTATTTTCCGCACTTGGACTTGGTCGTAGCTTTTTACTCTGGGGTCCACTTGTAGCCATCGCGGTTGCCTTCTTCTTCGACTTGGCCTGCATGTCGCGTCGTATGGCGTCTTTGCGACCGGCCGTGTTCCGCTTTGGGGATCAGTTCTGTTTTCTAAACCAAATGTATCCAGTAGTATATCCCACTGTGGTGCCGCTGGTTCTTGATCTCTTTGAGTTTTGCCATGCCGCTGTCGTAGATTATTGATATGTCTGGTCCACTTGTCCTTTCCGACCATTATCTCATAAATAACTTTACCGCTCTTTCCACTAACCGTTCCGCTAACCCATCTTTCCGGGGTCTGGAAGTTTCGCGCATACACCAAGTCGCCAATCTTGAACGTGCGAAGCCTGTTATCCTGCCCCCTTCTCGGTTGTCCGTTGCGTTTTTCAACATTTCTGGGAATCAGGCTATCAAATGTCGTTTTAACTTTTCGTCCAAATAGACATTCAGAAGGAGATTTACCCTCCGGTGTGTGTGGATTCGGAGTGTTTCGATACATTCTCAAAAACGGCTGAATTGCATCTCGTGACACCCTCGTTCCTTCTGTTTTGAGAAGAGCACGTTTAAAGGTATCTACAAACCGTTCGGCTTACCCATTCGATTGTGGATGGTACGGCGGCGAAAACTTGTGCTGGATTCCGTTTTGCCTGCAAAATTCTCTGAACAGCGTTGAGGTGAACTGGGCTCCGTTGTCTGTAACCAGCATCTCCGGGGTGCCAACATACTGGAACAGTTTGTTCAGCTCTTTGATATTGTGCCGGGCAGTAGGATTTTGCATCGGAATCACGTCGGGCCATTTTGTGTAGGAAGCAACAAAAATCAAATAAGATTGACCGTTGATTGGTCCCGCATAATCCAAATGGATTCTCTGCCAGGGCTTTTTCGACTCGGGCCAAGGGTGCCACGAACATCTCGGAGGTGCCTTTGCCGCTTGTTGACAAGATTCACAACTTTGGCAGAACTGCTCGATTTCTGCATCCATTTGAGGTCAATACACAAAACTTCGCGTCAGTGCCTTCATTCGGCTGGTTCCCGGATGTCCTGAATGAAACTGCTGTAGTATTCGCTTCCGCAACTTCTTTGGTACCACGACTCGGTCTCCAAACATTAGACAATGGTCAACGACCGAAAGGGATCCGCGTCGATTAAAGAAAGGTTGTAACTCATTCGAATTTCTGACATTAGGCCAAATGGACTGCACAAACCCTATCACTTTCAGCAAGATATCGTCTCGAGCCGTCTCTGCACGAATCATGTCCGACGTTACTGGCAACTCCCTTACACTGTCAACCAGGATGCGCTGAACTTCCGACTCGAATTTGACAGATGCAATCACGCAGTCATCGTTTTCCTTCAAATGGGAATCGAGGAGGCGAGATAGAGCGTCAGCTTGGCCGAGTTGTTTTGTAGATCGATATTGTATACTGAAATCGTAAGCCACCAGTACGGTTGCCCATCTCTGTAAGCGACTTGCTGTGAAAACAGGAATACCTTTCTTTGATCCAAATATCGAGAGTAGAGGTTTGTGGTCCGTAGTCAGTTTGAAATGTCTACCATATAGCATCTTATGAAACCGTTTCACTGCGAAAACAATCGCCAGCGCTTCCTTCTCAATCTGGCTGTAATTTTTCTCCGCCACTGTCAGCGACCGTGCTGCGTGCGCAATGGTCTTCTCTTCTCCTCCAGGGAACATATGAGAAAGGACAGCACCTACCCCATAATTGGAGGCGTCCGAAGCAACAACAATCTCCAAGTTTGAGTTGAAGTGGGTCAAAAGTAAATCAGAACTGAGCGCTGTTTTAACTGTATCAAAGCATTGTTGGCACTCCTTTGTCCATCGCCATTTTCCCCTTTCATCAGCAACTGGTTCAGAGGACCTCTAGTCTGATGTAGACTTGGCAGGATCGCACTATAATGACATATAAGACCGAGAAATGAACGAAGTTCGGCAACATCCCTTGGTGATGGCATTTGCTTGACGGCTTCTATATTAGCGGGATCCAGACGTCGGGCATTTTTCCTGATGAGGAATCCGAGAAGCTTGATACTTTCCACCAGGAACTTGCAATTTTCCGCTCTTAACCGGAAGGCAGCTGCTTCTAGATGAGTGCGCACTTGCTATTACGTGGCCAGCAATGCTTGTGGGCCAAGTCCCATAATCAATGCTTTAACCATGTGTACTGCGACCCCAGAGATATCGTTCAGCAGCGTATCCCTGATTTGTTTAAAAATGGCGGGAGCAGTTTTTACTCCGAATGGCAACCGATTGTACTGGAAAAGACCCAGATGCGTAGTGACCGTCAACAGAGTTCTGCAGTTCTCGGCTACTGGAACTTGTAAGTAAGCATCAGCTAGATCGAGTTTCGCAAACCATTTTCCACCGTTAAGCTTGGTGAACAAATCTCCAGGTATAGGCAAAGGGTACTGGTGGTTCTCCAACTGGAATTTAAGCCGGTTGAAAAGTCAGCACAAATACGTATCTTGCCGTTTCCTTTCTTTATCATAACGATGGGTGCTGCCCATTCGGAGTAATGTACGCGCTCGATTATGCCTTCCGACTGCA